TGTATAGATTATGTGCAGATATTAACTCACTTCAAAGACGGGGACTTGAGCATCCATGCATTCAGGTGTCCAAGGCAGTCCTGGAGCCAGTTCCTACCAATACTGAATGAAGGCTGTCTGTCTGACATATGCTGATGCAACTGTACATAAGTAGTAAGCCCCTCACAGAGCTGGGGGGGGGGCGTTGGTTAGGACCACTTAGGTATTTTACAGATGGGGAACGAGAACAGAATCACGGCTCATCTGAGCAAGCACACACACCACCCAGAAGGGACTGTGGTCAGTGGTGCTGACACTGTGGGAACTTAAGTGGGGAGATATGATGGCTTTACAGAGGGCTACACACACAGCAATGGAGGGCTGCAGGGCTGGAGGGCTGGAGGGCTGCAGGGCTGCAGGGCTGCAGGGCTGCAGGGCTGGAGGGCTGGAGGGCTGCAGGGCTGCAGGGCTGCAGGGCTGGAGGGCTGCAGGGCTGGAGGGCTGGAGGGCTGCAGGGCTGCAGGGCTGGAGGGCTGCAGGGCTGGAGGGCTGCAGGGCTGCAGGGCTGCAGGGCTGGAGGGCTGGAGGGCTGGAGGGCTGGAGGGCTGCAGGCCCAACAGTGGAAGAGGAAAAGCAAATCAGGCCATTGAGAGGAGCAAGAGACAGAACTCTAGAACAGTGGCCCCCATAGCGCACCACGCATGCTGGGACAAGGCGGGAGTGTAAGCCTTCATATGAGCCCATCAATGGAGAAAGGTTTGTGTATGTGGCTGGCATTCACCCTGTCTACTGCCTGCCCGCTGGCTACATTCAATTCAGAGGCCATGAGCGGCTATGAGACCTTTCCTTAGCCCATCACAAGCAGGCCAATTCTCTCTCCCAGCCAGGTAGCAAACCCCATCTTCTTTGGAAGATGAGAACGCAATCCAGCCAATGATGGCCAGCACAAGTGTCATATACAGAAAGGCAGACAGTGCTCTGTCCCGCACAATCCTGAACATAACACTGGGCATCAATCATCGCTAGCAGCAAAATCCAGGAGGTGCCCAGGGCCCGTGAAGCTCCACCTTCTCACTCTTCTTGGGAACTATTGTGCCCTTTATCTAAGAGGGGCTCCTAGGTTCTTATGGAGATGAAAGCACAGACAAGCTTACTGAAGGCTCCCATACCCATACTGCGAGTTTCTGAGCACCATTCTACACCACGACATTCCATGGCCTGGGTGATGGTGAGGACTCTGGAGAAGCGAGTGGCCCCACAGCCCACAAGCACAGCAGGTCACTGCCCACCCATGAGGACAAAAATAACTAAGGCCACACAAACACCCCTACACTACAGATGGGCTCTCTTCTTCACCTTGGAACAGTTTCAGGACCAACTCTTTTCTTAATATGGAAAGTGGGGCATCGGGCTCAGACATGAAACACAGAGCTTTCCTAACACAAGCCCTGACTAAAGGCAGCTGTGGAGGGCTCATTCCAGGGCAGTGGGAGTTTCTAGAGAAAAAAATGCAGCTTGAGTCACTATTTCAGTTCTTTTTTTTTTTTTTTAAGACCAGTAGAAACGAGAGGCAGGGGTAGGGTAAAAGGGGGCTTTGTAATACTCCATTTTTCAGCTAAAAGAAAACGTTTCAAAGGCTGCCAAGCCTCCCTTTACTCCTCAAAGCCCCAAAAGCTGTCAGGACTAATGCCGCTTGAGGCTTGCTCCCTGGCAAGAACTGCAGCTGAGATTTCGCTTTCTGCCTGCCAAGGGGGTGGCTCTGTCCAGGAACCCGAGCCAGGGATTGCAGACCGCTGGCAAGAGCCAGGGACTGCCTGGAGTTAGACAAAAGAGACCAGCCTCACTGCCCGAGAGGCTCTGAGAGATCTGGAGTGTGGCAGAGGGGTCCTCAGACAGGACTCACTGTCCAGCCACGGGAACGGTCTTTCTGTTCTGTGCTGATCTTGGTCACAGCAACAGAAACACAGAAGCCCCACTGGGTGACAGGGATAGAATCAAACGCACTGTGACCTGTCTAAGGCTTGAACATGACCAAGCAAGACCCTGGAGGAACTGCTCACAGATACACACGTGCTCAGAGCATGCTAAGCCGGAAACAAGGCTATGACAGTGCTGGGGATAGCCCCAGTATGAACACCTGGTGTGCCAGTTAGAAACCAGACCTACCTAAAGCACAGCCATGTCAAGAGCCTTGTCTATGGGCAGTAACACTGGTGAAACTTTCTTAAATGATAATTTGCACTTTTTAAAAAAAGTACAAACATATAAATACAAATTGATTTCCAAGAGAAAAATAAAAACCCTTTCTTTTCCTTCTGCCCCCCAATTCAATTTTCTAAACTTAACTTTTGCATTGGTATAGTGGACCGTAACAGAGGTCCAAGGCCTTAGAGAACTGTTTCCAGTGGAGCCCTAGGCCAAGAGAACCTACGGGATGGGAGAGGGTGGTTTTTATGGAGCACGTGCCGTCCTTTAACAGGCTGAGCTAAGTGTAGCCAGGTGCTGCTCACAACCACTGACTGTGTGTGCGTACTTAGTTCAGCTCCTTGTCTACTCCAGCCCAGAACCAACCAACTCAGAGAGCTTAATTCACTTCCTAGCAGCCAGGCATCCACCTGCAAAGGCCCAGATTCGAACCACACAACCTACACTACAAGTTTTCCTCCCTGACCTCACTGCCCAGCTTGGGAGACACTGAGAGAAAAATCATCCCAAGGGGAGACTATCAGAATAAACAGTAAAGACTAACACAGTTTCTCTGCTTATTCACTCAACAAACACATCAAATATCTATTATAGTGTGAATGTCTGTGGACCTCCAAAATCCCTGAGGTTGAATCCCATCATCCAATGCAATGGTATGGGAGGGGATTAAGTCTCGGAGATGCCCCTGTGATGGGACTGGTACCTTATAAAGAGACTGCAGGGGGCTTTCTTTCCATCTTCCTGACACAGCATGAGAGCAACACTGTACAACCAGACCTAACCAGAGTACCACCTTGTGGGCGGGCATGCTGAGTGAGGTCTTGCGTCTCCAGCCCCCACAGCTGTGTAAGACACACAGCTGTGACACTCTGTTACCACACTTGAATAGACTGGAACTGTAGCTAGATGCTTCCAGCATCCAAGCGTGCACGGGGAACAGCTTTCTCTGGGTCTCTGACGGTACCTCTGGCTGCAACAGCAGAGAAGGAGGGGCCAGGTGGAGGAAGCGGTCTCTAGAGGCTTGTCTTTTAAGGCTGTATCCTCTCCCCTGCCCTTTCCTCTTCCGTTGCCTCCTAGAAGCCAGGTCAGGAGCTCAGCACAACTTCTTCTAATGATCTGCTTGTCATGAGCCAAAAGCAGTGCAAACGAGGCGACCATGGACCAAAAGCTCAGATGTCACAAGCCCCGATCACTCTTTTATCCTTTAAACTTGTTCAGCTGTAATTGGTTTTCTATGCCGGCACCTGAGGGATTCGGCTTCTGAATGCTCACACTGAGAAGACCAAAGGCTGGCCCCGTCTACACCTGCCTGCTCACACCCAGATCTCGCCTGTCTCCTAACGCCCACAGCACTCACACGTGAATTCACCTCCAGCTCCACCTCAGGGCCGCGTGGATTTGAAATCCTAGCAATCCCTTGTGATGAAACTTCACCCTCCACAGCACAGAAAGCCGTGTGATGTCCCCAGAACAAGCAGGGGGACACAGAATTGGTGTCTCTAGCACTGGCCATCTTCTCAAGTCTTCAAGTTCAGGCTGGCAAGGAGGTGATGCTAGTGTGGATAATTCCAGACACTGGTGTTTGGTGACTTACACCAGGAAGTACCAAACTTGACAAAAATACTCCAACTTTCTTTCTCACGGCAGGTCTGATTCTCAAGTCAGTAGTTTAAAGGTATAAAAGATCAGGCTGGTGTGATGTCCCTGTTGGTCTTTGGTGGCTCCTCTGCATAGCCACTTACTGGCTACTTCGTTACATGGTTCTCTGGTTCTAATTTAACCACTGGTTTGCCTGGTCAACATCCCTCCCAGGCCCAGTACAAGGGCTTTGATTAGTGCCATCAAGACTGACATGCACCCACACATGCACGCGCGCACACACACACACAGACACACGCACGTGTAGTGGCATCTTGTTCCAGCAATAGAGTTGAGTTACTGTCCTTAGAGTGGCTTGGGTGTACAGATGTGATCCCTTATAAGGAAGACGAGGGGTCTGGCTATCTCTCTTGGGTGGTGGCTGGAGCACCCTGCATTGCAGGCAGGATGCTGCGTCTCCGGGGGCAGAAGACTGCAGCAGCATTTACCTCCATTGTGTGAGTGCTCCCCAAATAAGTATCTGTTATTCTTTTATTTGGGCGTTCGTGGACTTGCCTAGTCCACCCTCATGCGAGCACACACGTGATGTGGCATGCTCATGACCTCCCCACAATACACGATAAATAAAATGCAATATTTTTAAAGTTAACAACAAAACATGAAAGATGCCCGCTTCTCAGCTACCAACCCCAGCGGCTTCTCTCAGTAGCCCCAGAAGGCGACTGTCCCTTTTTTCCTTATCTGCTTTGTGGGTCGCCTGGGAGTCACAGTGTACATTCTGTGGGTGAACAGAGAATGTGCTGAGTAATTTGGGTACACCTGCACAACAAGCAAACCTCAACAGTGCCAGAAGGTCCACAGCTCCGGCGTGACATGTCAAGTAATGGACACCCCCGCCCGATACACGGCATTCCCCATCACATGTTGTAAGGAAAGGATGGAAGGCACCAGACCACAGCAGAGCACACTCCTAGCTCCAATCTGGAAGCTTCCGACCAGCCCTCCACATACTACAGCTTCAAAAAGGCCCTGATCTAAATTCACCAAGCCTGGCCCTTGTGAGTGCCTCCAAGGCCAACAGTGTCATACACGTGTAGCCTCTGAGCTGTGCGGTGCAAGGTGACGTCACCCTGTAAGCGGCCATCGGGCTTTGCTGATGTAGTCATGAACACGCTGTCTCAGCCCTGCACCGCCCTGCTGCAAGCAACGGCACTCACCCTCTCCGTCAGCACTCATGTTCTCATAGGAGTCCCACCGAATCAGCGGCTCCGCCGTGTTATAGTCCACCATCACTCCCTGGTCACTGTACAGATGCTCCGATCCTGTGGGGCATGACAGGAGTGCTAGGCTTAGCAAGGCCCAGCACCTCAAAACATCATGGGAAATCTTGACGTGTGAGCCTTGTGAGGAACATGTGTTCCTACCTAAGTCTGGTAATTTCCTTAGCAATTAAAAATGGAGTTAAAGTTACCACATAGCCGAATGTGGTAACACCCACTTATAGTCAATCTCAGCATTGGGAGGCTGAGGTGGGATGACCAGGAGGTCAGCCTAGATTACAAAGTGATTTCTGTCCCAAAATAATAGCAAGAAAAAAAAACTTTAAAATTGAAACAGTCATACACAGGAGGTGTAGTAACGGGTAGTAACATTTCACTACAGCAGTAAAGAAAGCAAGGACTGACGAGCGGAGTACCATCGGCAAGTCAGACTACCTTCTGGTCTTTCCCAAGTGAGTGTTAATGTCTCAGAGCCACCTCCCGCTTAGTACCCAATATGCTATGCAAATAATAATAATAATCACTCAAGCCCAAGCTGAGTAGCTAGAATACACAAGGCCCCAAGCAGCACCACCATATATAATACAAATCTCCAAGTATGTGCCAAGATGGAAGTGTTAATAAGCTCAGGGCCCTGAAAACAGCCTCCAGCCTGAGCTAGAGTCTGGCCGCCCACTCTCCTGCCAGTTACCTACCTTGAATCTTCTCAGGTGTGGCCGAGAAGACCAATTCAATCTTGCCGTAGTCAGGAAAACGGTCGTCTGAAAAATGAACACATCACACTTGTACACCTGGGTCCTGCCCTTCCAGCCCAGCCAGTGCAGGGCCATTGCCACAGCGGCCACAGAACACACTCAGTGTCAACCTCTCCCTGGTTTCTCTGAGTTGTTCATCCACAGAGCAACCTGGCTTTGCGTATGTCAGCAGAAGCTGGGCCAGCAAGAGGGAAGGACGACGGGGACGGGCGGACACTGCTTCTGGCATCCCAAAGGGCCCCGTCCACGCACCTTTGCAGGCACTGTCCAGCTCCTCCTTCCCAAACAGCAGTCCGTAGCCCTGCACAGCTCCGGTGTGGAATTGCAGGCGGAAAATGACATCTCTGGTGGCTGAGCGGAACTTCTTGTGATAACACTTCACCTGGATCAAGAGAGGACCAGAAAACAAGCCGCGGCTGAGGGGCAGAGCTCACAGCTTAGCACAGATGTGTGGGTGGTGTGGCCCCGGGACAGCTGTGGCCAGGAATTCACCCTGGAAATGCCCATCTGAAGATGCCACATCGCCAGCACATTACTGACTGCCCCCCCCACAGCCCCCATGTTATCTCAACAGAAGGAAAAATCCCAAAAGAACACGTCCTGGGATGGGCCGTACCCTTCAGACAGGGAGTTGTGTTAGAAGACATCTGTGGTTCTCGTCTAGATTTTAGCTAGACGAGGGAACGTTTCCCTTTAGTCTAAAATCTCCATTTACACTGAATACCTCTTGGGTCTCACACCATGGAAACACAGGTTAATGCTGCCCAATCTTATTTGTTGGGTATAGGCTGGAACATGAGGGTGGGGTGGAGTAGGAACTTGGGAAATGGGGGGAGGGGAAGGGGAGTCACAGACAGAGATCCAGACAGACAGACAGACAGACAAGCACTAACTCTGTTTCCTTTGCCAGGTGCCCGGGGGTCCTGGAGGTGGCATTTAAAAGGAAGTAGTAGAATCACATCTGCTATTCGGACGGAAGCTGTGACATCCTACCTCGGGTACAGCTCAAGCCACCCTGGATGGCTATGCTGACAAGCAGCGTGCAGACACCAGAGTCTGTGTCAGGCGCGCCCCGCCTCGTCTTGCTACCAAAGGCCGCCCAGCATCAGGCCATAGTGGGGAGGAGGTAAGCTGTGAAAAGCACCTCACCCGCTGGCAAATGAACAGCCACAAGTCAGCAGTGTCTTGCCAGGGTCTCCGTGAGCCCCAGGCAGACTGAGCCAGACTCAGCTTTGAGGCCGCACGGTGCCCAGGCTGGCACACCGTGCCACGGGAGACTGTGGTAGGTAGGCTTGCCTATGCAGTGCTGTCACTTTCCATCATGACTCTTCATGGTGAAGGGCGGCTTGAAAACACCACACTTCACAAAGCTAAATGCAAAGCAGGGTACCAATTGTCAACACCCATCAGCCAGGCAAGAGAGCGTGCGGATGACAGCTCAGTCATCCCCTTACCATGGAAACCATGCCCCAGAAACTGCAGAGGGCCAAGAAGCCGGGCCAGGAAGGCTGGGAACCACAGCCTTGGGCAGACCCAGAACTTGTTTACCTTATGCTATCTACCAGGAAACAGTCAGATAAAGCAACAAAAAAAGTATAAATAAGCCTGCAAGGGATGCTCCCTGTCGACAAACATGCACAGGTTCCTCCCAATCCCTCCTCTGCTGGGCTGCAGACAAGGACCCCCGTCTCCAGTAGTCTTGGCACAGTCAATTCGAAGCTATGTATTGACAATCAGGAATGAAGATCAAGAGATCTGCCTGCTTCCCAACAAACAACAGCGTGCTGGCTCCAAGTCTTCTCCTCCCTGTTACAGAGACCTTCACTCTTCAGTAACATTCAAACCCAAGATGCCCCTTGGAATCCAAGACATCCTTCCAGAATGTTCTTCTGAGTCCTCAGGTCTCACATTTGCTTGCCCTTCAAATGCTTCAGCCCTCCTAGCCAGGGGTGACTCCACGACGCCCTCCAACTAGATTCTGTTGCCCTAACTCTGTCCTATTCCCCACTGGCTGCCTTGGAAGATGAGAAGTAACCAGGGCCAGGAGGGGACGGGAGAGGGGAAAGTAAAGCCCTTTTCCAGGCAGTCGTGCTCTCAAGTTGTATACGTATTTAGGAGGATAGAGATCTGAAGAACAAGGTCTCAGGAAATCAGGGGCATAGACCTAGCTGGGTCCACTCAAGCACGTGCATAAGAGTGAGTGAGGACTGCTAGGAGGAAGTGGCCTGTGGACCTAACTGGGAGAATACAGGGCATCAGGAGATCCCAGGCTTAGACACGGGGAACGCAGTGCAGCCAACTGTTTCTGTTCTCAGTGGGTCCGTTCCCTTTCCACCCACTCAAGTTACTACTGGTCTTATCCTGTGGCCACCTCCCCAGTCCTCGCTCTTCCCCAGAGCCTTCCTGGGGCTAGGTATCCTGAGAGTACCTTCTACTCTGGCCATCACTCAGCTACACACAAACACTCTGACTCACAGCCCAGGCACTCCAACTCTGTCCAAGCCAGGCGTGGGAGGAAAAGGATGGGTATCCACAGGTTGGGCAGCTCTCAAGTACCCTGGGCCTAGCTAGTGTGATCTCCTGCTTGCAAATTCTTATTTGTCATGTTGCAAGCTCTCAAATACTCCTGCGTTTGTTGACAAGAGCAAGCTGTCACTAAGCAATGCTGTGCTATATTCCTGTGGCTTCTCCTATAGGTATTCTGACAATGTCTGTCTGTCCGTCTGTCTGTCTGTCTGTCTGTCTCTCTCTCTCTCTCTCTCTCCTTCTTCTCACTGAACTCCCATGGGCCAGTAGGAGCAAGAGCACTGCCCCTGCCCCATCATGAACACCTCTCGGGACTCCCCACAGGCCCCACCAACACAAAACACAACAGGTCAGATTTTGAGAAGATGCCACCTGTTAACCAAGACCCTGACCTGGTGGCCTCTGGCACCCACAAGAAGGTCCGTTCACTCAATGTCAGTGTCACTCTTTGTAGCATCAGTAGTCAAAGGTCAGAACTGTGCTCTGCATGCTGGACAGAGATGACAACACTGTGCTTGACATGGGGTCCCAGCGGCCACTCTTCAAGACAGAAAACATTTTATAAAGATTCTTGGGAGGTCTGAAACCTCCCTTTGGTCCTCCAGCTTTAACACATACCGTTCACAGTATGTTTCTTGAGTATTCTGGTTCTCTGCTTCAGATTCCAGAATATTTCCATATGAAACAATGCAATGTGGTAGTCACAGTTTTGTGGTGAGCACTGTATTGAATGATGAGAGCAGTCCATCACCAGCTGTCACAACCTCCACCTTGGGTGCATAAGAACACCTGCATTGAACCCCTCAGGGACGTTCAACCTCCTAGGTCTTTCATTCTCTAGCTGTAAGATGGACAGCTATATACTGCATAGCTACTGAGTATTAAGGGAGCCTGCAAATCTACCTCCGAGACAGCTCCATAATTACATGTATGCTATCCCACCCATACCACAGACTACTACATACATACAGACTCAATAACCTCAGAACACACACAGGCATTCTCCTCATAGCCATTCCCTAAACAATATAGAGTTATTTACATGACACATTGTATTGGCAGGTGTGATGAGTATGTGGGAAATGTACATGGGCTGTATGTATACTTAGCTATTTTATATGGAACTCGAACATCTTCAGGTGTTCGTATCCAGGCAAGTCCTTGAGCTAATCACACACACATGTTGACAAACAACCAGGTACATGATTAACTTAAAAAGTTTAAATTAATTAAGTTTAATAATTAACTTAAAAGCATAAGCTTCTGCAGAGGGGTTCTCGGTGCTCAAACCCGCTGTTAGTGGTGACGGCCATGGAAAGGCCTGTGTGGTTTTCTCTTGTCTGAGTAAACAGTCTGGAAACCTTGACCTAATCTCGCTTCCTTACTTACACTTGCATGAAAATACATTTGCACCCTCAACTGGGATGACGGGGCCTGGGACTGGGTGAAAAGCTGAGTCCCCCAAACAAAAGGCAGGTACCTAAGCCAAGTATGTATGCAGGAGGAAGAACCATGCCTGAACAGAACAAGTCAACACTTAAAGTCAGGCAGTTTCCATCCATGTGCCGGGCGCCGCCAAGCGAGACCCCAAATCCCTCTTAAACCCTCTAAGCCAAGCAATCACAGTACTAGAGCATCACCCAGAGACACGGAAGTCCCACCTTGGTCCAACTCAGCTTGGTGGGACTCAGGCCAAAGGTCAACGAGGGCCGCTGCTGTGATCTCCCTGGGAGCCGAGTGTGAATCCAGGTGCTCACCACACTGTCAAGCCGTGAACAGAAAGCAATGGGAGGGGAGAAGATATTTGCTACACCAAAAACACAACTGAGGCTGTGGCGCCAGATGAGAGCACGGCTGAAGGCCTGACCCAGCTCCAGGTCCACAGCCCAACAAGAGAAAAAGAAAACGGCAAAACAGTGCATTCGTAGCCAGAACAGAGATCCACCCCCGGGGCCTCTGCGGGGGCAGCTGTGGAGAGACACTTCCGCTTTCCAGCGCTGTTCACAAGTGCCCACTGTAAGACACAACAAACAACTGTGCTATCTGTGCAACCTCCTGAGGAGGCTCCACCTGTGTTCACAAGCCCAGTCCACTGGTCACGAAGCCAGCAACCGTGGAGACAAAGTACAAGTGGCTGTGGTTTGCCCAGGCAGGGCAGCAAGATGGAGCATGCCAGGCAGAAAGCTGTTTACAACCCTGGACCAGGCGCTGAGACAGGGAGGGGGCAAGCTGGCTCAGGCCCCAGGCTCCCGGCCAGGTTCCTGGCAGGCCTGCAGCGGTGCGCATTCCTGGGCAGGTTAAACAAACTACAGGCAGCCTCCCCAAGCAAGGGCCTGCTTCTGACCACAGCGTCGTTTGTGGCAGGATCACAAAATCTGACCTTTTGTGAGAAGCGCTTTGTAAAGACAGGAGGGTTAGTTATACCACTGAGAAAGGTCAGAGGGATGGCCCAGAGCAGATACTTCAATGTTGGCTTTGCTGTCTCCGGTGTCAGCGCCATCTGCTGGTCACGCGTCAAAGGATAACAGAGAATTGTGTTTCCCAAGAAGAAATTTCCCAATGGACTCTGGCCATTCCTTCTTCTGAACACGACCCTTGCTGTTCTTCGACAGCCTGTCTCAATGCAGACAGACAGACAGACACACACACACACACACACACACACACACACACACACACACACACACACACACACCAGGCAAATGTACCGAAATGAAGAATTCTGAGTTGAGAGGACAAGGGGCCTCTTAGATACAGTAAAATGAAGGACAATCAGGGAAGCAGTCAGCATTGCACCAATACAACACAAGGGTGGCTTGCTCACCTCACACGCTTGGGGGCAAATCCAGACACACA